ATATAGTGAAAAATCCGAGGAAAAATCATTCAATGCGATGCGAGATGCGATGTATACAATCGCAAAAAGGAATTCTGCAACTAAGACGGAAAGAATAGGAATGATTATGCACTAGATCTCATAGGTCACTAAGAGATCCAGTATGAACAGAACTGCCCCAATTATTGTCAGCAATTGCGAGACAGCACTGTTCCGGCTTACCGGGCCTCATCAGCCGCTCTCGGTTTGCTGACAACTGGGACAACTCAACTCAACCTTATAACTAACGCCACTAGATGGCGACAGCATGACTAGATCATCATGTATATTATCCGACGCCTGAGAAATATTCTTCAGGAAATTAAAAGTTTGTGAGATTGAAAAGTGTATCGAAATCGTTCAGTTAGATTGTTTCATTAACCGATGTTTAAACGAATAATTGAGTAGTAGACCAAATTTCGTTTCTGCTGATCGAACCAACAACGTGCTACAACCCCATATAAGAGAAAGTTACTTCAATGGCATTCTAATTGTAAATAGAATGTATGCCGAAATGAGAAATAAAGCATATTTTCATTAGCGTAGCTTTCCTCTATTGCTGAGACGCTCGTTAGTGAAAGAATATTCCGGATAGTTAATAGCTGATGTAATATCAGCGAAGAAAACATTTTGAGTGGAGAAAAAATTACATTAAATGTGCGAACCGAGACCCAGAGTCGGATGAAAAATTACACAGGAATGTAATAACTGTTCAGATTTTTCTCTCAGAATAATGTTTGGTTTGAAATATACGGAAATATATATCTCAAGAAACCAGATTGCAATATCATCAAAGTGAAGTAAGCCTAGGAAACGAGCTGAATGAAAATTTTATTTATATATGTACTTACCGATACTAATAATAAAGTAGCCTCGTAAAGTACCATAATTCAATAAGTTAAAGTTAAATATACCTACCTGAAAGGAATTACCAGTGACTCATCATAATGAAGAATAATTGAATGTGGTTATTATTCATGAAATGTTTCTTCACGAAAGAAGTCTGAGAAGAAATTAATCAAAATTCACTGAATCATAATATAAACCTCCGCGGAAACTTAAGGAAAACGTGAAGAAAACCGCAGTAACTCAGTAAGACCATTAAACAGCTACCATTAATATTTATGTCAACAAATATACAGTGTGTCCTGCAGGTTGATGTATATTTTTTAGAAGGTAATAAGAAACGTAATTGGAAAAATATTCAGCGTCATATTTAGCTCAGCTTAGTCGAGTTTTCAGCAAATTAGTCATCAATAGACTCTCTTCAATGCTACAGTATAACCAAGTACACAATTTTGAGGTTCTTCAGAAATTTTTTTTGAAGAACTTCCTTATATATAGTATGCTCAATCTCATGTCGCTATGGATGATTCAGGTTATTAATTTAATCAATTATTGTAAACTCATAGGTGTCTGTGATAATTGGCCACTTTATTAATCGACTGGTCAATTATCACTAAAATCTTCATATGGGATTCAAGAAATTCTAAGTTGAATTCGGAAAATTGTGATCGACAACGAAGACCTGGTAGATCAATGACCCAGAGACCAGTTCCGAAACGCTGGCTCTAAAAATTGAATGTCGCCATGAGAGATGCAAAGCCAACTACTATACTTTCACGGTGCAACAGGCTTCTTCTCACTTCTAACAGTTGTTATGGGCGCATGAAAAAAATAACCGTTAGACGGACACTATAGAATTGAGTTGATGGGATGTGGGAAATGAAATAAGCGAAAGAACAAGTACCTACCTACATGATGCCTTCAATCGGAAATAGTTATTATGCTATGTAGTACCACTAGTAGAAGTAGCTATGTATACTCTCGAGAAATCTATTCTCAGGAAATTGCGAATCACTGATGAGGTCTCTACTCGGGTTTCTACAACTACGTTTTATCCTCGGTTTTATCGAATAGATATACTACCTACTAGACGAGAGAAAAATGATGAAACGAAAAGATTTTTTGTCTGATACCCTTGGGTCCGCTTGGGTCTACAAAATGCCTATTTCAAATTTCATAATATACCGAGTAATATACCTAATAAGTACCTAGTAGTAGGTATTTTCTTGAAACAGTTTGAGTTCGGTTTTATAGAGATTTCAATGTTTTTTATGCCAAATGTTTTTTGAATCGCATTGTAATTGAGTATATAATATGTTTTTGTTTCGGATTTTTCCAAATACTCAGCAGAATGTTTGTGGATAATGTATGTCAATTCATGATAAAACGAAATGTATACGTATACTGCTCACTTATAACTATTATCAACCTTGACTAAAGTATGCAATAATTTATAGGCAATAATAGAAGTTGCATGTTCAACAATCAAAGTGTAGTTGGAAATTTTTAGTATAAAGTGACGTACCTCTATATTAATATATCAAACGACCTTTTAGTAGTTTCAGTTGAACAATTACGTTCTAAACCAGAATATCATTTGAAAAGCTGATATAACAGATCGTAGTTTCGATCAATAATATGAATCAGGAGAAATTAAGACCATTATCATACAAAATTTAAAGCTCTCTCATATTCTGTCACGTCAAACATTCAATTACGAGTTGAAATATATCTGTTGAACATCCAAAAAAAGAGCAAAATGAAAAACCTCTGATATTGAGAATTTAATTTTTTTTCTCAAACTGGATAAAATAATATGATGTATCAGGATATAACAATATAACTTACTTATATGTTTAGTATTGAAATGAACATTGAAATGTATAGGAGGAGCCTGGGAGAAGTATACTTTTTTTTATCGCTTGGAGCGCACGAAAGGGAATCCCTATAATGTTCAAAGAACATCGTGCGTTATTAGGGAGGATAGGGACAGGAGGTAGGTATTGGAATTTTTTTTGAACTTTTGGAGATTATATGTTGTTGGGAATAATGCCACAGGCAATGAATTCCAGAGCCTAGGCGTTCTATGGATGAAGGAGTCTTGATAAAGTGCTGTTCGACATCTTTCGAGGTTGACAACGAAAGGATGTGCTGACTGGGCTTGTCTAGTTCGTCTGATTGGTATTGCTAGTGAAGGGATGCTAGCAGAGATTTCCGAAGAACATTTCCCGTGGAAGTATCGATAGAAAAGTGAAAGGTCGCCGACCTTTCTACGGTGTTCCAATGATGTCAAAGAGTGAGTGAGTGTTGCTGATGGAAATACCTAGCATAGATATGGTGGGCTTGGTGGGAATAGTGGAGCCAGACATTACAATATCGGGCATACTGAGTTCCGCCTTTCTAGAGAAAATGCAGGCTTGAGTTTTGGTGGCGTTGAATTCAACTAGGTTGTTTGTTCCCCAGGCTGTGATTTCAGCAAGATCTTCATTGACAGCATTGACCTGCCTGCGCCGTGAGTTCTTAGTTTCCTGGGAAGAAATGGGAATTCTGGAAGAGAACGCAGTATGGAGGGTACTATCATCTGCAAAGCTGTGGATTGTTTGTATAAACTCTGATCTTGATGAGCTTGGAACTTCCAGAAAAATCATTCGTATCAGCGATATGGAAATCATATCTCTCACAACAGGTTATATGAATTCACTCGAATAAATTCATTTCGGATATCAAATCCTCATCAGTAACCTGAAGTGAAGTCCAGTTATTTTTTCAGTCAGGAAAGTAGTTGTTTCTTGTTGAATAAACCGAGAAGGAATGAATATTCTCATCACAGAGAATGCGAATGCTCGATGTATTTCCTTATATACAGGGTGTTTCATAATTGAATGCTGATCCTTAAGAGCGATAATCCTTGGATGATTTCAAAGAGAAAAGTTCATATCAACATAATATGTCCTAAACCTCTTTGTTATTGAGCTACAGGATGATGAAATTTCAAGAAAAAAATGAGTTTTTCAACATAATTTTTTATCACTCTTGGATATTGTTATGATATTTTCGATTTGTATACACCTTTTCATTATCAAGGAGCACTTTTTTGCGTGAAAGATATTTAAAACTTCTCACCAGTGGCGTCCGTACGGGGTTTGAACTGCCAATTTTTGAAGAAAAAAATAGTACGCCACTGATTTCTCTGAGAACCAGATTGTTTTTTCAATTCTTATTCATTTTGGAGCAAATTTGGTCTCGAGACTTACTTTCATACAACGTACCGTTTTCGCGTAAAAACATAAAAACCAAAGAACTTTGGTAATTCAGCCACTATAAGTGGAGACACATTTTGTTTTGAGACGAAAATCAAACTTTTACTTTTACCAGTGATGTCCTCGATCCGTAGACCTGATATTGAATGTTTTGTTTCCAAAAACGCTGTACGCCTCTGATTTCAACACCCTAGTCCCTAGTGTAGCTCAAAAACTAAGAGGTTCAGGACATATAATGATATGAACTTCTCTCCTTGAAATCATCCAAGGATCATCGCCTTTTGGGATCAGCATTCAATTATGAAACACCCTGTATTTATCAATATTTTTATGTTCATAATTATATCTGAGAATATTTCTATTCAATACTTTCACCCTCGCTTTCACCCAATCAAGGGAACGATGGAAACGTGTTATTTTTATCGACCTTCAATCGCAGATTCGTGATTAGGTTTCCCCAATTCAGAATTTCTTTCCACGTCCTGTATGATGAATAACAATTTGTCATACATCGAAAAACATAATTAGTCTATTTCGCATTATATCCTGTAATATTTTCCTGTAAATGGGTAACTGTTGGACAATGAAGCTACTATTATTATTATTATTATTATTATTTGAGTTCATATACTTCCAGTCACGACCCTGTGGCCTCCGACGTCACGCAGAGTCGTGCTGGATAAAATCCAGTGACTACTCCTTACAGCCTGTGAGGTGAATAATCACTGGGACCACGTACCGTGTGCCCTGAGTAGACGCAATGATCCTAGTATTATTATTATTTTCCCACTCTGGAGGGTTCCAGACCTCGTGGACCTTTCCCACGAGCACCCCACTGATTCTAAGTCACGGATTCAAAATCTCGCTTCAACTCACCGTTTGGCGTGCTGAAATATCCCCACATCGGTATCCCCACAGCAGTTGCGCCAACCACGAAACAAATGAATCCCAAAACTGCAACGCACGTCGAATATAACGGCTTTATCTCCGCCATATCACAAACACATCATCCCCATGAAAACAACCACCCTTGCACCATAACATCAACAAAAATCACGCATCACCAAAAACAATATCACCCGAATGGCGCATGATTTCACCAACAAGCACATGTCGCGAATCGATATAAGTGGCGGCACGGCATGTTATTCCTGCTGACCCTCACGAAATCGTCCTGCTGACCGGATTAGAGCGTCGGGACGCCGTTTGGGCGGAGTTTTTCCTGCGGACAGTCTTTCGGTCGGGTTTGTTTGTACACGTAGTTTGGTACCAACTAAAGCCAGGCAGAGTTGATGCTACCTTGCTGGTGAGGTGTGCCGCAAGTTGGCGTGTTCAATGATGGGAAGGGGCCGCCAGTGGTGTAACAAAGAGTGGAGTGGTACGAATGCGTAGACGGGTCACGTTACGTTTTTTTTTTCAAATAATCAGTTGCAACTGTCTGAAAAGACAGTTGCAACTGTCTAAATAGAATCAGATATCGTAATTCGTACTGTACTGTCCACTGACTATACTGACTCCCCTGTCCTACCTACAACAGTAATAAATTAATACGAGCTGTGTGTATTGCGTGTATAATGATTGTGGTAGTTTTTCTCTCCGTTCTGAATGGTGCAGGTGACTCTCTGATATTGAAATTTTCAAACGCAGTGAGATTTGTCCTCACTAAACCTATATTTTAATAATACCCATATTTTTATTTTATTGAAACGAGGAGAGAAATTCTCTCTGAATTTGAAAAATTGAATGTATATACCATGCACCTCCTCGATTAATAGTCAGACAGTCTTCTTCTTCTTCTTCTTCGAAGCACTGGTGAGCGGGTGAACCCCCTGCACGTGGGCCTCCTTATTCGGGCCCATTGTGCGCCCACATGGTATGACATTCAGCTGGGTATGCCGACTGCCTTGGAGAAGTTCAGCAGCTTCCTCAGCTGAATCTCTTTTACGTCCTCTGGCCTCAAAATTATGTTGCCAAGGACAGCCCTCCTCTGATGCGTCAGTGCTGGACACTCAGTGAGGACATGTGATGACGTTTCGTCATCTTCCAGGCACCATCTGCAAAGGGGGTCATCCTTGATCCCAATAAGCTCTAGGTGCCTATTGAGGTGGTTGTGCCCCGTTAGGAGCCCCACTACCATTTTAAGGTTTCGCCTGTTTAGGAATAAAACCTCTTTTGCGAGCCTCTTCGAAGGTTCCTTTATGTGGAGCTTCGATTGTCTCATTCCTGGTGTGTCCTTCCATATTTTGAGGGATTGCTTTTGCAGCTGTTCCTCTATAGAGGACATTGCCAGGCTATTTGGTATTCCCAAGATTGGTTCCGGTCCGACTGGGGTCCGTCCCTAACCGATCTTTGCCAGTCTGTCTGCCTCATCGTTTCCGGGTATTCCCGAATGTCCCGGGACCCACATGAGGCTGACTTTTCTTGATTTTGCCAGGTTTTCCAAGGCTTTTCTGCATTCGGACACCAAATTGGATGTGATCCTATTTGATTGCAAAGCCAGTATTGCAGCTTTGCTGTCCGAGCATATAGTGATTGGTCTATGACCTCTCATAATTAGGTTTTCTTGGACACAGGTGAGTATTGCAAGTACTTCTGCCTGGAACACTGAGACATATTCGCCCAAAGGAACTGAAATTTCTTTCCCTGTTCCTTCATTGTATACCCCTGCACCTGAACCGCCCCCAAATTTTGAGCCATATCCGTGTACCAGATTGACTCATTCGGAGGAGGCACGCCAGGTGTTGTGTAGGCAGACAGTATTTTAGGTCATTGATGTCATATTTTTCGAAATTTTACAGTACATGCAGTCAAACTCAGTGTTCTCGAAGTGAAATACTCTTGCAATGAAATCGATTCATGAGCGAAACGTTTTTTTGTGGTAATATTATCGTTCGTAGAATTTTTAACATTCACCATCGGTCAATTATTTATAATCCCAAAAATTTTTTTATCAGAATTACAAAATCCTGAAACACTCAATAAGGGTTGCCCAGGCGTCTTCTCTACCCTGTATACAGATTTTGCCTTATATAAAAAAGTCACTAGCTATTACTTTCCATTTGATTCGTTAACAAAACGAATACGTCAACCAAAGCATGACATTTTTTTTTTTTCGTTGACATTTGAGATTTTTTTCTGGATAGGTAATGTCAAACAATCTGAAAAAATTATACAAACTACAAAATAGTATAAAAATTATCGAATTCACCATGAAATGAATTTATAGAATTCGGTTCTTGGTGTAGATCTTCCTGTTCAACATTTTCCTCGTATAAAATACTTTCATCAAGCATGATTAGGTATAAAAACAGAATACTACAGATAAAATTCGATCTTCTTCAAAGTATGGCTCTCTCTGTAGGATAATCCTAATGTAAAGTAATCGCAGTTCCCTACTCGTTTTTGTTTGTCCCAAGCCTTCTCAGCCCTTAGAGGGGCGACTGTGACTTTGAAATGTTTTGAAACGAAATGAATTATTAATCACTCTGTATCTGGAACTTCCTGTGCCATACAAAATGAACTGTTCAAAAACATTGCTGTATAGAACTAGGTAACAGGTGTGCGACCTATAATGAATTGAAATGGAAAATGCTTAGAATGGTTAATTGCTGTTTGACTAATCTATATCGAACGGGATTTTTATGAAAGCTCTGATAAATAATAATTTATGGTCGTTTTGAAGGAGTGGTCTGATAAAGCCTCATTGTGTATTGTGCATACGAAAACAATATAGGATGGCATTATCGAACATGGGCATTTTATATTTAATATTTACTACTCACATAATTAAAATGGCACTTAGCGTACGGATATGGACCACGCTAAATGATCGATTAATCACGGATTCAAAAAATTTTATACACGTTACTATTGCAACACATTTTCTTGAACACATTACCATGGCAACAGAGTTTTTTAATCACACTTTCAGTCGTTCGGGTCCTGTCAATTGTAGGAAATCTCAACTGTCATTTTGATAATTTGTTGCAATCAGAAGAATTCAAACAATTTCTGTTCTGTTCAATGTAGACGTAAGTTTTGGGTTGGTGGTACTTACTTTCATATTTAGAAGAACTCTCGGTGAAAATGAAGCTCTCATCTCATATGTGAGCAATTCATTCTATGCTAAGCATGACATTAAACGTTGAACACAATATTCAAGTGAGCAAAATTGTGCGATCAGAATATGTAAACAAACCTGAGAAATCGAAAACTTTGACACCCGAGAGGATCGAAAAGTTTTTATGTACTAGGTCAGATGAAATCTTATTCACCAAGATCAGTTAACAAGCAATTTCAATAGAAATCATGTATCCTATAGACTGGTCTCGTTGGTAGGAAAAGTATAGTATGTAACGCGTTTATAAACTCGTTTATTAAACACTCGCTCCGCGTGCTTAAAATACTCGTTACTGAAATAACGTCTATAACATTTGTTGCATAATATACTATTAATGAATTCCTTTGACATAGGGCAACTTTGTTTTCCAGTTTACTTGTTCGAGTCTTTGTGTCTTGGACATGGATGTTGAGATGACCCTGAAGACCCAAAAGAAGAAATACTAAGAACACTGCTTCGCGAAGTCGAACACACTGTGAATAGTAGACCATTAACTTATGTTTCCACAGTTTCGACTGATCAAGAATCCCCCTAATCACTTTTTGATTGGTAGTTCTTCTGGTACCCCAATCCTGGAGATGAAAGCTTTCAACGCAAGAAAACAATGATGGCAACAAGATCATAAGATGGCAGATAACTTCTGGAATAGGTGGTCAAAGAATATATTCCCATCCTGAATCGACGAAGCGAATGGTTCGACAATTCCGAAGAGAGCTGCAAGTAGACGACGCCGTAGTTATAGTGAACAGTAATAATCCAAGGAATTGCTGGCCAAAGGTCAAGATTGTAGACAGGCATCCTGGTGAAGACGGAAAAGTGAGAGTAGTCGACGTGAAAACTGCAGCAGGAGTATTCAGACGACCGGTCAACAAATTGTACAATTTCAATTTATTCAGAAAATAAAGTGTACAGATAATATTGATAACATATTAAAAATTTTGGTGTTCCTTTTGGATCATAAGAATGCACCTAATCATGCTGCATGCTTGTTTTGTACTAGTCTTTAATCCGTAAGGAGCATTCTAATTGTACAACTTTCATATTGCAAAATTGCAATATTGCAGTAGCAGATCCTGAAACCTCTATGAATTCATGACGTGACAGCCCTAGATGCTCTTGGTTGATAACTTTGGGGGTAAGAATGTTGATATCATTCGATATACCTTGTATATAATTGTAGTTATGATGAGAAAAGAGAGTAAAGACATATTTCGAAAGTGAAGCAAATCCGTCGTTTTACTGAGGAATTATCACATTTGATTGAGGAATTATCACAATTGTATTTCAGATGAGAAAACAATGAAAATGAACGTTGAAGCTACCATTATTGAATATTCAAAATACTATGTTATATACGATGCGGTAGTGATAATGAAAGTAGTACATCCATATTAGATGGCCTAATTAAACCTTAATATACCTACTCACCTACCTATCTCTCTCATATATATAGCAGATCAAAGCAGTCAGCAATTTCTGGTAATTGGCTGATTCACGTCACCAATTTACACCTAACGCGACAATTTGAAGTGATAATAGATCGCATTAGATAATTGAGCAGTGAACTAAATATTCAGACACTTTTATATACAGGGAGATCAAAATTATTTTCAGACTAATTTTGAGCGGCAAAATAAGGGGATTTGCTTGACTAACGTATACATCTGATTTTTTTTAGGATCTTCGAACGCATCGATAGAGATTCCTATAATAGATAGATAGATAGATAGATAGATAGATAGATATTTAGTGATTTGAAATACTTTCAATTACACACGACAGTAGTATACAGGGTAATCATTTGAATACTTGTAAAATACAAACAAATGATAATAACAAATATAAAACAAGTTGAGACAAACATAAACATACTCAAGTATGGTCGATAAAATGGAGAGATACTGTGTCACTGGGAAGGTGGGTATTCAGTAAATTCGGCACATTGGTATTCTCTAATAGAATAAAAATTGAACCTCAGTAACATCTGTTTGATTGAGGTTTTAAATTTGGTGGTATTCTGGTTTTTATAATTATCAGGAAGTTTATTGTACAGATCGACATTTAAGAAGTTTTTGGATGAGGTTTCCAGTCGTAATCTTGGGTTGATAAGTGAGTTTCTATTTTTGTGACAATGAAAAATATATAAAGCTGGTAAAGTCATAATATTCAATTTCGAAAATATCT